TGCTACTGAAAGGAAAACCTGTCATTTTTGCAATACATAAATTACATGGTAGTAACTGAGGACATGGGGGCTGAAATGCACAATTGCATTCTTTCCATGGTTATTATAATATACTCTACCCTGAGGATTTTGTGCAAATACTCTGTAGGGAATGAAAGGCTAGAGGTCGTGTGAGCGTATAATGTTCAGGGATGGTGCAAGAAATCAAATATTTCCTTAGAGAGTTCTTTTTAATTAATCAAATGAAATATGTTTGTAATATCTCCAGTGCTGAACACTTTCGATGTTTTATTCAAAAAGCCACAGAATGTCTCTAGGTTACAGTAAAGGCACAATAACTTATGCAGAGGCTTAGGAGCATGGGATGGTAGAAAACAAGTATAATAGGGCATTTCTGTCCCTCACTGAAAACTGCATGCACAACATAATATCCGTTCATTACTTCAGCTGTGGCTGTGCAAGGCTGGAGCACGATTTAAGCAGAAAAAGTTCTCTTCCTCAGAAAAGAGGAAAGGAGAGATTTTGAGGTGAGGTGAGTCTCCGTGGCTGGACCTACGCTAAATACAATGAGGCATGGGCACAGTGCCTTAAGCAATGGCGTGAGATCACCCATACTATTTAATTGCTTGCACAGACTCTGGCATGGGTTTGGCCACTGCCAGTGGGTATTCTCATGTGCTGGGGGCCGTTCCCTATGGGCAGTTTGGCTGTGGTTTCCCTGTTTTTGGTGCAGGGACACAAGCCGTACTGCATGAGGAGGCCTTGGGGCCAGAGATGGCTCCTGGCTTGCTTGGTGTACGGGTATGGCGGTGGCTGCGTGTGGCTCCGAGGTCAGGCAGGACCTACACCGGTGTGATATGGCATCCCTTCGGGGGAGGCTCTTGCATGACCCTATACTATTCTGGTAACCTTTTAAGTGTGTGCTTTGTAAAACTTCACTAGTTACCATTCTTGAGTGGTGAAGACTTCTCTTTGATCTGCTTGGTCCTGATAATTCCCTTTTAAACTGATAACAGGGATTGGAAATACAGCATCCTGGCACCTTCATTAATTTGTGCAGGGTCTCTTCTTCAACAAGAGTTCTGGCAGTTGTGAGCCACATTTCACCAGAGACTGGACATGTATTTTAAATCAGATTATATATCTTGGTTTTCAACTTCGCTTCCCTGCGCTGTTGTTAAATGCTCTAGAGAGTGTCTGCAGCCACGTCACCAAAGCTCTCTCCAGCCATCAAAGCTCTCTCAGGTTTGGATTCCATTTACAAATGCACATATGTAGCTGAAACAATTGCTGCCGTTGCCAGGCCCACTTTGGCAATAGCAATAAATGGTTTATAGGCAGTTTCAGAGGACTGTTGCTACCCATAAATAAAGCCATTTGTGCAACAGTTTTGGTCATACTGTTCTAAGGCTGCTATGCCAAAATCCTTTTGGGAGATACCTGTGGCCAGCTTAAGTGTTTTGCTTACTGCCAAGAAACCCTCCTTCTGTGGTTTTAGTATGCAGCGGGGGAGCGTTAGTAAGCTTTTGTTACTGGGTAGCTTGAGAGCAAGGCTACTACGTTTTCAATCATGTTAGCCTCTTAGCTGCCTCCGTAAGCTCCTGTTTGGATTAGAAACCTCCCTTTACAGGCCAGCTTCTAATTGCTAATGTTTAGTTTTTCCAGCAGTCTCTTCCTGATCATTTTGGCCCAGATTCCAACCATGTCCTTTATCAGAACTCAGTCAGCCCTGCAAAGTCGCTAGTTGACTATCTGCCTTAGATCATCCTCATACGCTAACAATTTCTCTTCCTTTCTGAACCCCCTGCTTATATATTTACTTCTTTGCTTTATTTTTACACAGAGTTCAGTGCACCTGACCTTCGCAATGAGGTAGTTCCTCCTCTGCCTGCACTAACAGAAGAACATTTACCACCCCAAATCCCATACGGTGAAGGAAAAATCAAGTGAATATGAGTGTCTTTTATTTTGGAAGGGGAATTTCATAGTGAGAGGTTATTATTGTTTCATTAGATCACTGATATAAAATTCTGACACTGGACTGGGTACCCAGTACTATGTTGTCTCTGTCCAAAAGGTCTATTGCAAATGTCATTTCTTCTCCCCCCAAACATGCTATGGAGATGTAAGAATCACCAGAAGGACCACGTTTTCAAGGGTATTGTTTTGCGCCCAGACTTTCATCTAGAAAGGGGTGGCTTCTAGTTTGTTTGGAGTATCAGCACACCAAAATAATTAATCCTTTGGCTGGAGAATGCCTCAAGGAGGAAAATGGAGGACCTGACAACTGAGAGATATTAATAAAATGCTGCAAATACTGTATTTTCATCCCGTGAAAAATGCAAGATATTCTAAACTAAATACATCATCTCCAGATCCTTTTCACTGAGCTGTCAAATACAGAAAGCAGATCAAACTATGAAATTGGTAACACAAAAAAAAAAAAAAAAGAAATCAAGGTTGGTAGCGCCCAACTTTTCCTGCAATGGACTGGAGAAGGTAGCAGGGAGCTGCCTTTCAGCAGTGAGCACACTGGACACCTCTCTGATGATACCAGTCCTAGAACTAGCTGGACTGGGTCCCAGAGTGGAAACTTGGCATTTGCCTAAAAGCTGGACACAATGGAAGCTGTTCCTCCTGCCACAGATGAGAAATTGGTCATATCTGTTGGCCCCAGTTCATAAGGGTGGACTAGTAGCTGGAAACCACTGACAAGGAAACAGGCTGTGCTTGCCCTGAGGAGCGGGAAGATCTTTAAGGGTTTACACACAGCAATGAACGCTCTGTTGTTGTTATTATCTTTTGCCCACAGGAATACCCAAGGTGCCGTTTATGCCACCTTTTCCATGAAAGGGAGACAATAAGAGGGAACACGATCTTCCTATGCAGATCATTGCTATTAACGGCAATGTGTACAGGACAAAATAGAGGACACACTGAGGAAATGTTTCTGTGACAAATGGGCTGATGAAACACTAAACGGATGCTTGAGTGAGGTGCAGGCTGCGGGGCTGGAGCAGAAGTGAGCCGCTGATACCCCGGGAGCGTGCTCAACAAATTACTCTCTTCTTAGGTCACTTCCAGGCGCAGTGTGAGTTACGGGGTTTAACCTATGAAATCACTTCTGGTGTGGTTTTGGGGAGATACTCTTGCTATATAAGTGATTACGTAGGAAACCTAAATTTAGACAGAGTAGCTTCAACCCCACGATGGTACCTAGAGCATTTCTCACTTCCCATTGTGGAGCAAGTGGCCTTGTCCCAGCTCCACGTCAGTGTGAGACTCAGGCCAGCATCACACAGCCCCTGTGCCGCAGCTGCCGTGGGACGTAAGCCAGGGCTCGTGCCCCAGAACAGAGCGAGGAACGGCGAGCAACCTGGATAGCAGCCTGGTGGCTGGTACACCCCAGTAGCTCACTGTAACACAGCCAAATTCGGGATTTGTGCATCTGAGAGGTCTCTGCGGGGGAGGGCTAGCCTGGAATGATGACCTTAGCAAACGCTGTTGGTTTGTCTTGTTTGGCCTCCAGGAAATGTTTATTTACCCAGGCTTTTCCTGAAGAGATGTGTTGCGTAGGACGTCCTCAGCTGAGGGATGGGGCATTTCAGTTCAATAGGTATTTTACAACCCACATGTCTGTGATAATGTGTGCTTTTAAAAAGGAAGCAGACACCAAAATCGCACTTCTGTCTAATTAGTTTTACCACAATTGTTGGATGTAACATGCATGATTGCCATCATAGAAAGAGTTTAAAGTTATCTCTCTTTACTTGGCTCAAATGATCTGTGTTGTGCCTTTCCCATACAGTCAGGGTCACTACCTCCTGTTGTAGCTGATTAGTTTGTTTCCCTTATTTTCTACCTGGGAGTCCCGCAAGAAAGAACAAAACATTCATAAGCTGGGAAAAATGTGAATAGAGAAACCCAAATCCTAATCCACTGGGGCATCGGTACCCCCAGAGCTGTGTGAATGCACCTTTCAGTGCAGGACCCATCCCTTACAGGGGTCGGGCTCATCTGGTGCTCCTGGCCCCTGCCTGTCGGGAGGCTGCTCTCAGCAGCTTCAGTGCTCCCTGGTTAGGGGCATCACTGTCTCTGTTTCGGCAAGCTTTTGCAGATGAAGATTTTTGCCTGAACCCCAACTAGTTTAACGCCAAAGAGGACCTTAGCTGGTGAACGAAGGGCGGAGAAGGGCAGCATCCATTCCTGTGGGGAGGCAGCGTGCAGGAAAGGCTATGTTCCCACCTGCTGCGGGGTCAGCGAGCCATTTTCACAAAGATCCACTTCTTCACGTGTTAGGAGTCCTTCCTACATCTAAAATACCCTTACAAAGCAATACATAAAAGCAATAACGCTGGTTTTGTTTGCTAAAGCCACTTACCTTACTGTACCTGATACAACCCTGTAAAACTTAAAGCACCTAGTAGTATATCTCTTGGTGGCAGGTGGTTGTATCCCCAGTGGAGGTAAGAGGGCATCTCCCAGCTCCTCAGAAAGCTCCTCTACCCAGGGGGCTGGTGCCGTACAAGCTGTGCTCTCGGCTGGGCAAAGGCGCAGCCAGCGCAGCGCTGGCTACTGCACATGTGCCCGGCAGAGCCAGCCCCTGCAGCGGCTAGAGGCAGCAGGTTTGGGCAGCAGCTGCGCCCAGTGGTGGGAGAGGGGCTGTGATGGCAGAGCTGCTGCAGCAAGAAGGGATCAGCCAGCCCTGTGGAAACCCAGCCAAACCTGCAGGATGCACTTAGTCGACCTGCAATTTTTCATAGTGACCCCCTTTTCCACTGGTCACTCCCTATGCACCACTGACACAAGATTTCTTATTAAAAAAAAAAATCCCATTGGCATGCTGTTTGAAGCAGACTATAGCTTTCTAGTATCTCTGCCCCAGTACAACGATTCTTTCTGCTTTCCAAAACCAGGTCGCATTCATAGTGCAGGCGTGCGAGAGCGTGAGCAGGCTGGCAGCAGCACACAATGGCCAACGAGGCATGAAAAGCTCCTACCGTCGACCACGGGTTTGGGCTGCGAGCTCTTCAGCCGCAGTGAGGGCCTGAAGCGGGTTCGGTCGTTGAAGCTCCAGCTCTTCTGGACTTTGGTTGGGCTGCCCTCGGTGGCAATGTCGGCACTTGGTGACCGGCGATCTCCAACTGAAGACTGCCTGTTCTTTATACTTTGTCCTCGTGGGCTGGCCATCCGGACCCGCTCCTTAAAACTTAGCTTTTGACTGTGAAGAAGAAAAATGTATTTTACTTCATGGTTCCTCCTCTCCTTTTTTTTTCTATCGCATGATATTAGGAAATAATTTCTAAAAATTCTCAATAGTATGAGTCTGTTTCTTACACACTTTTATTTTCATTGAATATATTTCATTTGGGAATGAAACTGATTTGATGTAATTGTTTTTTGGTAGAGGCATTATCAGTGCCAGTCTATTTTACATTACAGAATAACATTGTAAAGGAAATTAAAATTAACAAAGAGAAACAAATTTCACCCAATTGTTACAGATTAATCCTAAGATTTTTTTTTTTTATTCCTTGACTTTTAAATAAGTTTATTTTCGTCTTAGTCAGCCCAGCTCAGTGCATTTCTGGCCGTCTCTTCAGACAAACAAGAACAAAATGTATTCTATTATTACCGCATGCCATGTAGTAGTGTTTTTTTTTTTTAAGCAGGCAAAAATACTGTTAGTATATTCATGCTTTTTCAAAATGTGGCACTTCCAACATTTCATATGCATTGTCAGTGATCACTCATATCCAGAATTCCTTGTTACAGCACTTGCTTGGACAAGAGGAAACCAAAATTAACAAAACATCCAAGAAACAGCATGATGACCGATTAATGGAAATGTAATGATACGCTGTGTGCTCACTAAAGTCATCACTGGAGATTAAGCTGGGAGCTGACTGCCTGCAGGTGGTATTGGACAGGCGCTTTAGGGCAGGTACAAGAGCCCAGCCAAGCTCATGACTGTGACTGCTGGATCAATGGTGGCCCCGTGGTCTTATAGTTGGCCAATTGTAAGCTGATTTTTTTCTCTCCTCTGCTTATAACCCTGTCCTCCAGTCAGCTAAATGTGGGTCATGTAGATTTTCTCCTTCCCAGTGCTTAAATTACCTTTGTTCATGTTCAAACATATCTGATGAACGTCCCTGTGGTCACTGTGACTATCTGCCTATGCTTTTTCATTATTTAACATTTTTGCCTTTGTTTGTCTCTTCCTGTAGCAGAAGGCACAAAGGGGAAACAGAAAGGAAGTCTGATACCAAGGTTTGGAAGCCTTGTTTTATCTACAAGGTTAAGTTCAATTGCCTGTACAAGGGAATGGTCGTCTTGATCAGCGGTCCTGTTCTTGCAAGGGGAGAGATGATGGGAGCAATGCAGTAGCTGCTCATGGTATGATGTTTCTGGGTCTTGCAGTCTTACTGCCCTGGCAGAGGCTTTGGGGGTGCTTTTAAAACACCTATGGCAAAGACAGTCTACCTGCAAATTATAATTGTACTTGAAGTTAAGAGACCTTCTAGTGATCTCGAAGTCTTTGCATTTAACTTCAGCATACCTGTTAAGGTGTTTTCAACAGAAATGAATTCTGCAGCTAGTTAACTAATGCTAACATGGACTGTGTGGTTCTTAGATGTTTAACCTACTGCACTCTGAAAATACAGTGTTAATAAATAATTACATGAAATGGAATGTAGTTATAAACTTCTGTGGCTGTGAAATGTTGAGATAATCAGGTATCTTTGTCCATGCATTGCATAGCATAGCATAGCATAGCATAGCATAGCATAGCATAGCATTTCATTCTGAATACAAATATCACTGAGAGCAGAAAGGATGCAGCTTGTAGCAGGCAAAGCACATGCTGGGAAGCTTATAATGAGGTAATTTTCAAGAATGCTAACAAATGAGCACATCAATAAAAAGATTATTAGATAAATGTATTTCTATATGGCATGTTGAATCACTTGAAAGAATACCTTTACTATAATTTCTGAATGTAATCACCTTCTTCCCTTGCCCAAAGTAAGCAATTGTTGAAATAAACACATGATAGTGCTGGAAATGTTATCTATTTCCATTGCAAATTGTTACCCACACCTGCAGTACTGTGTGCTGTTGCACATGCAATACAAAAGCCCCACAGAACCTACTATTTGAAAGAAAAGTGAGTTCTAAAATTCAATTTTCAATAAAAATTACATTTCAAGACTGAATTACATTTCAGCTCAGGAATCTTTTGCATTGTACAACTTAATGAAAATATAAGCTGTAAAATATTTATTAACCACATTATTGCATTGTCATACTATACAGCATGAGCAACAGAATCAAAATGGACTTCTTATTATAGATATTATTCCTAGGCATGTGTCCCCTGTGCTTTTTTTAACTCCTCTTACGGCTCAAATTGTATTTGCTATTGAAGCATGAAATAAAATTTTATTTTTGTTGACAAATCTTAGAATAAAAAAGTTTCTCTTCCTGTTGCACTAATTAAAATGAAAGGAAAATTGTTAAAATAGCTATAAAAATGATCAGTATGGACCATATTTTTTATAATCCCATTAACTCCAAAACAAAAATTAAAATAAAAAAAATGAAAAAAGCACACGTGTTGTTCCGTCAATTAATTTGTACTAATGAAAGCAATGGCTGCCTTTAAATGATTTGTACACATGATTATTTCATTTATAAAAGCTGAATGGTACACAATGGCTACTTAACCTGAAAATCTTTAGTTCTCCAAATCAAAGCAATGAGGCAATGGTGAAAGGAACAGCAGACACTTCATCTGTACTAGAGACATTTTCAAAAGTGCAACACCGAGAATGAAAATATTAATTTAAAATGCAGACCTCATACTTAAAAGAAAAAATAATCTGCTTTGTAGCAATGGCAATGTAATGGCATGCCGAGGGTCCATGCGGCGGATGCTGCATCATGAAGAGAAACGCAGCCCCTGAGGGAAGCGTGGTTTAGAAACTCTATTTTGCATCTTGAGAGTTTCTCCAAAGACACTAGTTATAGCAGTTCTTCACTTCTTGGATCCCTGTTCCTATTTTGAGACTGGTGGGAAATGTTCCTGAAGTCACTGGGTCCTACTCAGCGAGGCATAAATTGTATGATTTGCAGCAGTGGAGAATTCATGCTTGGGAGAAGAAAGCTGCTGTCCTTGGGAGCACCATGCCATGGGGCTCTTCTAGATATCATAAATAACAGATCATGAAGGAATAACTGAATCAGAGCATTTTGGGGGGATCCTGACTAGGCTTTTTCCCCCAGTGAAAGTCCCTTTCCTTATAGGTTATATAGTTCCTGGCTCTTGATTCTCTGTTGCAATAGTAGTGGAGAAAATATTAGAGATACAAAGTGGAGATAATCCTATGCTCTTTCAAGCATCCTTGGGCATTCTGCACTTGAATTAGTGGCCACTGAAGCCTTTAGGGCCCTTTACTCTGATTTAATGGTGGTTGGATTAGCACTGCCCAGTGCTGTGCTAAAAACCTTCACCGCTTGCAGGACCTAGCCTATTATATTTTTCTCTCTCCCCCTTTCTCCTTTCTTTTTACAAGATATCCAAAGAAAATCCCTTGAGTTAATGTAAACCTGTTAACGGCCATTGGAAATTCACGTGTCCCTGTAAGTACTCCCAAACTTTGACTGTTGGTCCAAATGGCAAAAAACATGAGAAAGAATCAGGAAAGTGAAATCGCACAAGTTCCTGAATCAGACCTAAATGACACGGATCTGAGAGAACCACAGCTGTCTCCAGTCATCTCTGCATTCCTTTAGATGTGTGTCTGTCCATCATTTCTTGTACCTTCCGTGACTGATAGTTTATGCCAGTTGGTTTATATACATATTTGCTTCCTGTTACAATCTTCCCTGGCAATGGTAATCTCTTTGGACCTATTGCTCCTCTATTCTTGCAGGTTGCAAATTGTGGAATGTATTCATATCAGTAACACTGAAGTTCCTATCGATAACACTGAAGCTTTGAAGCATCTTTTAGTGGAGATCAATTACAACTGGCACCTGTGGGAAAAAAACAAGTGATTTTTCCCTATTTGTTTGCATTCTGGAAGGTCAGTTGTAGGACCTTACTGCTTATTCTTCCCGTCAATACGTGCATGAGCCGTTCACTTCCCTGGGATAGCAAAGGACTTTCTAGTTCTTACTTCTTTTTTAAATTCTGTCTTTTCCACCTTTGATTTATGAAGGAATAGGTGTTTAGAGACACTAGAGGTCACTGTAGCTTCACTGCAGGGGGAACGAACGCTTCTCTGCTGGACCAAATGACTAGAAAAGATTTTGGTTTAATTGATAAATGCCTATAAACCTTTGCTTTTCTCTCCCGTACTCACGGCTCTGTCTGTCTTCCATGGACCATCTTACTATACTTTTTGGTTAACTGAGCATCTCTTTGCATCCCAGTCCCACTCCCCTATTTCCCTGCCTACTTTCCTGCATTTCTGGTCAAGTTAATCTTCTGCCCTGCTTCAGCCTCAGACCTGCAGCTCTACTGCTTGCTACTAATCACAATTTACAATTTGTTTTTCAGCTTTTCATACTGAGCAGGCTGGTGGAAGCGGGAATAGGAAGAAATTGAAATGAATCAGCAGTAACTGGAGGGCCTGAGGGTGAGGGAGAATGCTTTGGATCTCGAGCCGAGGCAGAAGCTAATACTGACAAAAATTATCACCCATGACAAACAACAGCAAGCAAATGTACGTGCCAATTTTCAGCAGTTAACTTCCAATAAATACAGGTGTTGATCCTTACCAAGCCTACAGATGACTTCACTGAAATTAAGCTAAGTTGAACAAATGCAAATGCAATGGATAGCACAGTGAGGCCTGAAGTTCAAATGTTCAAGACTTCTCCACCAGTCTCATGCTAGGAGCATGAACCCAAGAAATGTAGTTATATCTCATACCTTCAATGAGTAATAACAAGAATTTCAGGGACATAATGTCTTAAAGTTCAATCGCCAAACAGAAAAAAAAAATGAAATTCAGGGGTTTTATGTATTTTTTCTTTTTTCAAAACAGTTTCCAGATGAAGAGAAACTATTTTTTATCTCCATTTTCTATCATCAGTTTGTACTTCTATTGTCTTTTAAATTATTCTTAAAAAGTAAGAAAAAAAATGTAATAAGCCTTAGTTATAAATCAAAGGTTTCTTCCCGTAAGATCCATCCATCTAGAAGTTACCATTTTTGGTAAGAGACACAATTTCCACAGAATTCAGCTGAAGCAGATGGTTGATTTCACATGCATTCCTCTACCTTCCAGTACAGGGCGCAGGCACAGCTTCCATGGGCTGTGTCCAAGGGGATTCTTCTCAACAGCAATTGCACATTTTGACTGTTGGTATTGCCTAGCATGTTATAGCTTAATATTACCCACTAATTATTAGATGGAGAATTCAACTGCCAGGGTTATAAAAATCCTCTTGGACTTGGAAAAATGTTTTTACCCAAATATTCAACCCTAGTTTTAGATCTCCGCAGGGTAATGCATTCCAAAAGTTCAAGTCTCAGGCAGAGAAAGGGAACCGGGCTTCGGCAAACCGCGGTGTGCTGCACACTGCAATCGTCCGTCCGGATGAGTTTCCAAGAATTGGTATTATTGCCGTTGTATTAATGTCATTGCAGGCAACAAGCAACAAGGGAATTACAAGCACTTAAAAATAAATAAATTAAGAAACGTCCTTTGGAGAAGTAAGGAACTTTAAAGCGCTAAGGAGAGGAAGTAAATGAATCATGCACCTGATGTTAGTTGGCATTCTCAAACATCATGTGAATAGGCAGGATGCTGAATACCTATGTTTCCGAGGGGTGTACATCCTGAAGAGCTTCTGTTTATTACTACAAAGCTTACTAGGAGTGAGGGGAGATAGAGGACCGTGTTACTAAGCATTCCACTGCTAGGTAAGGGGTTAGGCTTTCCACCTCAAGTTAGATTCTGCATTACTGGCAATTTCTTTTTCATATGGTGCATGCAGAGAGTTTACATTAAATCTATTTTTAGAAACAGATATGATACAGGAGGTGGAGAGAATTCCAGAGTACAATTTACTTGTTTCCCTCAGAGCAGGGATGGGTTTTTCCCCCAAGCTCCTATACTGGCAAAACTCCTCCTTATTGCACTAGAGAGAATTGTCTGAATAGGGAATTCATATTCAGGCTCACTAGTTACAACACTAGATGGGTGACATTCATTCTTTGCAGACACCCAATGCATGTCGTACACACAGCTTAAGACTGCTTATACTCTCAGGATGTTTTAAGATTCATCAGTTTTGATCTAGTTTCCTGCACGGGAAGAATTTCAGCCACATTGTATAACTGAACAGAAATAAATATTATTTGCATTCAGTGTGTGCATTTGTAGATATGGAGAATTTAACATACAGGCTTTTTAAATGACTTGCAGAACTCTAGAACTGATTTATAGAAATATCTCATTTACAGCATGGATATACCAGAGATGTTGTCTACCATTACTTTTGATAAGTGATTAATTAGAATACTTGTGTATAGTATTTTGAGAAATACAACATACATATTTTTCTTAAAATCAGTATGACGCTACAGCCTCATAAGCACAGTTGTCTCAACCCAAATGCACAGCAACATTTAGTTACCTAACAAACGACTGTAGGTCTATACATGACAAAACGCAAGAATTCATTTCTGTAAATATAAAAGTCATTTTGGTAGGAAAGAAAATAATTAACTTTTACCTAAAGTAATACAAGTTTTTCTCCACTGTTATTATAATGGAGTACAGAGCAAAGAGCATATTCAGAAAGCAATCCAATGCACTACTTGTGCAAACGCATCTTCATTTAAAGAGTGAAACAAGAAGCAGCTTACTTAGTTCATATGGCATCCCATGCAAGTCACTCAGCATTGCAGTAAGAAAGAAGTTAAATAGTCGAGGACAGTTATCTCGAAGTACTTTGCAGCAGTTTGCATTTACATTTTTACCACAAAAGACCACATACACCACATGTATTTTAAGTGATACAAACATACAGCAATATATCAGCATGAGAACGATAAACAGCCACCAAAACACACCTTTTTTAAAAGGCACTGAGTGGTCTGTAGGGTTTTTACTGTAGTCTAGGATCTCAGGAGTTGACTAGTTCATTTTTATACCTACACTAATTTGCAGCAGTGGACACATTAGTTAAGAGTTTCAGAAGGGACAAACATCTTCCATTCAGTGAAAATAAAGTGAAAAAATCTGGCTAAATCATTGACTACTTTTAAAACCACAACAGTTATCACTAACGTGGAGCATGTAATATAATTTTGACAGCTGGGATTTTTTTTTTTGCATCTAGTTTCTACTTATTGTAAGTAAATTTGTCTCTTTAAGTGCTTGCACGTACAACTGGGAATAACCTCTCCCCTCCACACAAATCACTGTTTGGAGGTACGTACTCATTTACTGCCAACTTCAGTCCAACCTTTAAAAAAGCTGAAGTCAATTTTAAATGTTGCTGTTGAAGGAGTAGGAAATATGGCTGGTGAGTGCAAAAAGTTTTGATCAGGCTGTAATAATTTAATGAGATCGATACGTTGCTAGCAAGCCTATGGAGGTGACGTATATGAAAATCACAGAACTGACACAGCAGGTGAAGTGCTCTTGAGGGACATCTAAGAGCAAATCCAGTCCCCTTGAGTTACTGTGACACTAACAGCAGTTACGTGCACATCGGGGAAAAGGATGGAGTCAGGCACCGGAGGAGCAATCTGGAAAGTGGAACAGGACACGGGTAATCGATGTGAAGATATTACACCCCTGTTTTTGTGTGAGGTGCTGCAGTGCTCAGACTCCTCACAGGTGATTGAATAACCCAGAAGAGTTTGTGAACCACAGTACAACTCGAGGGCGGATGTATTTCAGGGGTTGACGTGTCACTGACACTTTTTTTCTTGGCTTTTCATCGTTTTCTGCTCAGAGGTAAGCTCCATTATTCTGTGATCGTGCTGATACCGCAATACCGGCTGCCAAACGCCTGCTGACTCCCATCCCTAATGGGTTTCGGAGGCACTGTAATTTCTTTTGTAGCCACCGAGTCCTTTCCTGTCCCTAAGGAGTCGAGCTATAAGGATGGCAAAGAGCAGCATTTCCTCCTCCTTCCTTAGGACGTGCATCTCCAGGGCTTTATTTACCCAGCGAGGATAGCCCTGCCAAGGCCTGCCTCTGCCTGCTGTAGGCAACCAGTCCTCAGCCGGCATCCAGGCTGGGTAGAAACCCCACCTGCCCTCCTGGCCGGTGGCGGTGGTGCTTATTTAAGGAGAGATGCCAGGCTGCCTCCTCCGCCCGAACAGGGCCGTGCGAGTGTGCAAACCGTGCAGCCAGGCGGAAGTGAGCCACTGCAGTGGTGCTTTCCCCCCACCTGCCGTGTCCCAAACTGCTCCTTAGGAAGGGACGGCAGGAAAAGGTTAGGAAACATGGAGACATGACGCTGAGGAAGCCTTGAGGATGCTCCTGCAGGGCAGCACAGACCCTTGCCAAGGTGACATCCAACCAGCCCTGTCGGGGGGTCCTCCCCCTGCGACAGAGGGCTGGCGGGCTTGTTCACAAAGCCAAATTCAACTATATGCCTGTAACTTCCACTGCAATTCCTGGAAACCGTGAGCATTGATTTTATGGCAGAAGCTGGGGGCTGCGTCCTTGCCCAGGAGCTGGGTCTGGGGAGGCTGCTCCACTTGCTACTCTGACACTGTTCAAACTGAGCCCCCCCTCAAAGTTAAAACATGTGGTTACAGAAGTAAAAAATTGCCTAGTTTTTCCATACAAAAACTGTGACAAAGAAGCAAATTTCAGCCACATTAGTCTATCGATATGAGTTTTAAAAAATGCAATTTGTGATTATTATCAGTTAACAGTTACAGTTCATTGAACCTACTGTACAGAACCTGAGACATCTAAAAGCCATTAAGAAGCAGCATTTTCACAGATAAAATAAATAAAAGAAACTACAAACCTGCTAGAAGCTTCCCCTTGTTCTTTTCTTCAGGTGAGGGAGTGGGAGGGAAAAACATACTTGTTATGCAGATAGTAATCACATTACTTAGTTACAGATGATGTTAGATATGATAAACGTAAATGAATATGTTAATTAGTGTACAACACACACGTTACATTGCAACCACAAAAACATTCAAGCAAGACTCATAACTACAATGCTTCTGAAAAAGAAACTTTTCAGTTGTTTTAACACATGCATAACATGCTTAGTACATACCACTGCAGACTGAGTTGGCAAAGCACTTAGGCAAAATGTATTGCTGACACATTTATAACAGAAAGCTGTAGGCTCTTATTAGATAAAGTTATCTCTGGTAAATAAAAAGGTTTAATTTTAGGATAGCACAGCAATACGCTTATTTAAAATAACAAGTAGATGCACTTTTGAGGGACAGTCATATTTTCGAATATTTTAGGTGGGATACAGCTTCATTGTTTATGTAATTTTATATCCATCCATTTCTACCAATGTTGCCTTCAACCTGTTTGTATATGTCAAAAATCAATATTCCATGTAACTTTTCATCTAAAAGCTCCTTTTAGTTTGGAGCGTTTTGGAATTACAGTTATGGTAATGGATTACTTATGGCTCTGGTCTTGTCAACTCTTTGAAATTCAAAGATCAGCTTTGGGTACCCAGCCAAACCTCTTTTTGGCTGAGCTTTTTGGCACACAATTACCTTTTTACTGTCATGTGGATGTTCATCACCCAGCTTTGAGAGAAACCACTAATTCTTTTGCACTGTCTGCAATAACAACAGTTAGGATGCTTATCAGAGCTTTCCCATAAGGCTTTTAGCGCTCTCCTTTTTGATCTTTATCGAGTATCCTTTACTTCCTGATTTGTGTCCCGTATTGAATCAGTCAACTTACTACCTTCTGGTAAATCTTTTACTTAATTATTGAAGAGTCTTGGGCTGCCAGTGCTCTGTGAATTCTCACCCAAACTAGGACATCAAATATTTCCTGTCTGCCAAACTGTGACATCGGGTCTTTTTAGTCGTCTTCCACTGACTGTGTGTATAACTGAGGATATAATTTGCCCTAAGGAAATACTGAATGTACCAGAAGTTATGACGAAAAGGAGCAAATTCCCCAGTGCATTCATCTGCAGAATACCGCAAGGCTCTCTTCCCTCACAAAGGTTGATCTGTAGCTATAGCCTTATATAGAGGCACAGGCATAAAAATACCATTAAATCAAGGAACAAACTCTGCATTAAACTTAATGTTTTCCTCTTTAGAGATAATTTGGAACTGGGTGAAACATTAACCTTGATATATGAGTGGGGTTTTGGGAAAATGCTTCTAATGCCTGTGCTCAGATAAATGGCAATGATTTGTATTTGTCCCACTGTCCTAGGCTCCTAGATAATATTGATATGATTTGTTAGTTGAAGTTTTTAATGAGAGGACTTAAGAAGACAAAACAAGACGAAACAAACAAATAGTAATTCTCTATAAGCTTGAACAGACATCGAGAACAGCACCAGCTGCCATATTTGTACCTACTTTGTAGGGCTGCAGGTATGCAAGGCCTTCAAATGAGGCTTCCAGGTAGCAATGGAAACCGATTTCTCATCAGCCGCATAACTACGCCATACACACTACGTGCAGGATATATGGTAAAAAAGAAAAAACAAGGCAAGAGGGAGCAGGGGATGAAACAAAAAATTGAAAAGCAGATTAGTAACCAATACAAGTCATGGCTTTCTTTTATCATTCATAGCACTGATACATGCCTGAGGGGAGGAAGAATACTTTCATAATATCGCCAGGTGGCTGTCAGGTTTGTTCGGCTGGCGTCGGTAGAATAAAACCGCCAAGAAGCCTGGTATGGGGAAAAAATAGAAGTGACAATGCCACCCGCACTGATATGGAGAGAGGGGATTTTGCTCAGGTTGGGGTGTGCTCTATTAGGTTGATTAAGTACCAGTAAAAACCTACCAAAGCTTTTGTGAATCACAGTACACTTCGCACGCACAAGTAAGAGTTACTGGCTTTGTGGACGCACCAGAAGATATTCAACACATAAAGGTGCTCAAATGGGGAAACAATAGAAAAGCACAAAGGAACCAAGAACATGAAGTGACAATGCCACCGCACTGATTATGGAGAGAGGGGATTTTGCTCAGGTTGGGGTGTGCTCTATTAGGTTGATTAAGGAAATACCAGTAAAAACCTACCAAAGCTTTTGTGAATCACAGTACACTTCGCACGGTAAAGTAAGAGTTACTGGCTTTGTGGACGCACCAGAAGATATTCAACACATAAAGGTGCTCAAAAAAGCATCACAGTGATTTATTTGTGACAAGTCCATAGGGGACACCCACACAAACTTGCAGTCTGAGGTAAAGAAAGTGTCATAATACATTTTGTAAATGATAATGAAAACCAGACAAAAAGCATTTAGAAGAAAAGTGAAGTATTCTCTGTGATTTGAAACACTGCTAAATGTTTAAAAGCACAAAATAAATCATTTCAAAGGTGAGTGACCGAAGCATAACATTGAAAATGTATTCACCGTTTAGATTTATAACTGCATGTAGATAGTAAAACAGATCCTCAGTTCTACAAACTGGAACAGCTTCCCTGATGTCAGCATAACTATATTAATTTGTACTAGCCGAGTATCTGTGCTTCCTGTGTATTGTCAACCATTAAATGTCATCCAGGTATTCTTGTACAGAGTCTAATACCCTGTGTTTTCCTACTGCATATCTCCCAGAAATACATCTAGTCTTCATCTACAGATGGAGAACCTGCCACTTACTTTGTAAATTGTTCCACCGGTTGATCATTCTCATTGTCAAAAATCTGCATTATTTTTAATTTGAAACTCTTTGGTTTTGGCTTATAGCCAGAGATATTTGTTATGTTTCTGTCTGTAGGTCCTGTAGGTTCCAGTGCTTCTTTGGACTTTTGTATTCAAATAATCTTCAGACTGAATATTTCTTATAAGCTAAACATACTGAGAAAAGTATGTCCCTATGAAACATTCCAGTTTTCTATAGTGATAACTTAGCTGTCTTTAAGTCAGGTAAAGGCTGTAGCAGACAGTGTATCTAGGGCAACAAAGGAGTTAGCACAGACTAATTCTACAGAGTAACTGATTGGAAGATAGACATTATCCTGATAAACTAGAGCACACTGATTTCCATGGTAGTTCATTATCAATATCCACAAGACATAATTTAAAAAAGCCCAGGCACTGTTACAGTAGACAATGATATGAAGTTCAGACACATCCTGCATTTATGAATATGAAATTTTCTCCAGTGCTGGACTAATTTTTTCCAACATTTTCTTTGCTTTCTCCAATTTTCCAGTCTCATTTACAAACTGTAGATGCTGAGTTGATGTGTAGCATGTTAGTACCAGCATCACCATATACAGTGACAATATCAGCCTTCTCCTACTTGTTACCTTTCTGGTTCTGTACCTAAGGACTGTAACAAACCAGCTGGAGTAACATACTGGGAACTTGTATGAAGCTCTTGGCCCTTCTTCCTCACTCTTTCTCCTCTGTGTTTCTCATCCTTGGTCAAATCCTTTCCAGAGTCACTAATATTAGGATAGAGTCCTCTTGTAATAGTCTGAATTAATTGATTCTAGATCAAGTTTTGTATTTGGTATGTTAAGCCATTTGGATAAAGTCACCCAGATCATCCTCGGGTTCATTCCCGTGTGCCTGCCCTCATCTTTACCATTCTGTGAGGCCTTGTGCCATTGGCAAATATCTCCATCAGCAACTTTATATTAATTTCCAGATCACTGAAAATGCTAAACATGAAAATGAACATGTAAATGCTGAACAACCTTCATCACTGGCATCCCACCACAAATGTCTTCCTTTCACAATGTTTTTGCCCATTGAGAATCACTTACTGAAATCAGTCAGCTAGCTACTCTTAATCTATTTAGCATGCTGTCTGACTAATATTTTGGTTGGGCTGTCATACAATAATAAGAAGAGCTATATCCAAAACCTAAATCTATTGTGTGTTTCCTCTGGCAACCAAACTTGGAAGAAGTAGATTAGAATGTATGTGTTTGTTAGAAAATATCCCAGACACTCATTCTACAGTACAATAGATACAAAAGGAGTGGACTTATATTTATTAATTATTCTATTAAATAATACAACTCAAATACTTAGTATTTCATAATCATTGAACAGTAATAATGGAAAACTTTTATTAACTTTAAGAATGCTTCAAAGACAGCCTGGCATCTATCCTGAACTTATCGTGGAACTCTAGTATATTCATGCTCAGCTTCTTTATTTGGATTTATTATTTTGGAATTAAAAAAACAGCGTAAGTGGCACACATAAAACACTTGGGATCCCAAGAAAATAAACTAGGATGCTAGAAGATTATTTCCCCCCTTTTATTTTTCAGCGTGTCGAGTAAAGCTTGGTGCAAATTCATTCTTTAGAGGATTTTCTTGTTTTTAACTAGGACTGTAAGTTAAGGAAAAAAAACATGCAAAACAGCTGTTTAACAAATATCATGCCACTTTTGCTTAAAAAAATCTTTCTAAATTGTTGATCTGCACCATCATGTCGATATTGGAGCTGAAACCACTTCAGACAGTTTCAGACATTTTGGAATCGCTAGTGCCTACATTTCCAGTTTTTGAATTGACTAATAGTGAAAGCAATTCTCTGGGCAGGGCACTTTTCATTTTCACCAAGTATATCACCCATTGGAGCACTCTAAACCCTGTAGTAGATGAAAAGTAGCTTAATATAGGCAAGAGTGCTGTGCTGTCAGTTGGGTTGTCTAGGGATCAATCCTATTTTTCCAACTAATTCGATAACCGCAGGTATGCAATTGACATCCTTGACTTGGTTTCTTTAGCATGGATAGAAGAACTCAAAAACTATGCATAGAAATGCTATATACACAATTATGGCAACACACTGCAATCACTGAACAAGCTTATTTCATGAAACTAACCAATCTGTTAAACATTATTTCCACAAAACTTTCCAAATTGAAATAATAAAACTTGCTCCAATATGTACTTTAAATCACCTACTGTTATCTTTTCACTGATTTCATATTTACCTGAATTAGACTGGCAGCTGGATTCCTTCTTTTCTCAAAGTGTTTCTGACGATGTTGTTCCTGCACTTTTAACGCAAATCCTGAGCCAAGGATGCCCTGCAATACAATACGCCATTTATCATTGTGTAGGTAGTTTTTTCAACAAATATACACAATATGGGCTACAAAGGTTTTGTGAAGATGTTACACCATAAGATTGCTTCAGATAACACATTTATGACAGTATAAGGCTTAACAACAGTGCCCGTTCGTGGTGAGGCAGGAGACTCCTTACTTAAGAGATAACATCTGTGGTGCTACCAATGACCACTCATTCCAACTATTGCTTGAGTTTGTGCTACGCTATGTTCCTGCAACGCTAAGGGCCACGGATATATATCTATATATAAAACATCAGGTGGGAACATTCAGAGGAATTTAAGCCAGGAATGATGAAATGACCAGTTGCCAGATTTGCCAGATATATATGGACTTCAAAGTCAACATCTGCAGTGCTTATCATAACTTTTGATTTTAGAAAAGTTAGAAAACGCCCTGCTTAACAGATTAAGACCATTTCTTCTCACTCTTTCCCATCTAAATAGTCCCCATTATTCCATTCTATAGACTATGAAAAAAGCTGACAATGAAACGTCTCCCCTTTTGGCTTTTTTACCTTCAAATAAGTAAGACAAATTTGACTCCTGCTGAATAGACCCAAAGACTGAGAATGTTTCCCTCCTTGGCTTGCAAGGAGTGTAATAATTCTGCTGGATGTGTCCGCATTATAAGGAAGAATGTTTCCACTTAATTCTTAGTCAGGATAAAATAATATTAGAAATGCACAAGATTCACACATATATCTTGTTTTACAGACAGATTCAACCCAAAAGCGTTTGTGAGGAAAATGAGTATCTGTATGTAGATACGACATGAGGAACAAAAGTTCTGGCATCTCTAATATGTAAGGTTATTAATCTTTTACCTGTTCATTGTAGTCCTGCTAACACTAACTTTCTTGTTATTGGTGACTAGGTAACAAAGAGAATTAATTACAGTAGCTGCCATTGCACGTCTAAGATTCACAAACAGGTAATGTATTATAATCATAATTATAATTATAATGCATTATAATATGCCAGAGATACTGAAATACTCCCTGTACTTAGAATAAGAAATATATGCAGTATACTAGATGATTCAATGCTGTTGGCAAATGCTGACTTTTAATCTTGGTTTGTCTACATGGTTGAAAACAAATGTATTATTATAACATACATATTTTATAGTGATCTATAGATAATGAATCTGAGTATTAAAATATTGATTTTCTGTATATGTTGCACAGGATGCAATACAACAATATATAAATGTCACTTCTGATTTCATGTTTATTCAATACTAATTTAAAAAAGAAAGGAAATTTACTCACAAAAATGAAAAGTTATTTCTGAAGCTACACTATACTTCAGTCATCAGATGATTCCCATTTCCATTAAAATCTCTTGAACATTGATAAAAGCAACATAAACAATCTGTCATGTTTATTTACAATCATTCACAGAAAATGATAGTTGCATTTTTACATTCAAATACATTAACTTTTGGTTGATTTAATGCCTTCTACTACTCTCTGTTGGTAGTCTGAACATGGTCATACAAGACAACCTATTAGAAATATCTCACTTTTTTTCAATAGAATCTAATTCAGAAAAACATATCAGCTGATTTTTTTTCAAAAATCTGAAAGAAAAGCGGTAATATATGAGCCACAGTTCATAACAAAAGAAAGGAATTTCAACATTACACAACAGTATGCTACCTAATTTAGGATTATTTCCCAGTTTTGTCCTTGCCAAAGAAACTCCCCAAAACTCAAGCAATGACAGCAACACCAAACCTTTCATTTGGATTTTGGATAGCAGTTCACCAGTGTTGTCACAGAGCAAAAAGCCTTAAACAGTTGTTCTTCATGTAGAGAGCTTCCTTCAGCTTTTTCTATCATAACAGCGGTAGGAGCTATGGAAGTTTCTATTACCTTCTTACAAATTTTATAAGCATACTCACAGCAGGTAGTGCAAAGAAAGAAATGCCAAGTAGAGCAAATCCTGCAGAAAGCAACCTTCCAAGCCAAGTAAGAGGAGTTTTGTCTCCGTAGCCAATGGTTGTCAATGTGATCTAAACAGAAATGAATGAACATTGTGGTTTACCCGAAGTCACCGAGAGATTAGTTGCAGATTATTTAAGTGGCATGAAACAGCATTTCCACTAAATAATCCAAGACACATGAAATATATATAGTTGTTTCTAAAAGAAAAACATACATAAATAAATTAACATGAATACATTTTTCTATGAAAACTTAATACTGTTTATGACTGAACAAAATGGAGATAAATAATAAATGTGAGAAAAATATCTAAATAAGCAATAAATAAGTTTTAAAAATAATAAAACAGAAGGTCTGGGATCTCAAAGTTGAGGCAAATGATGGGAGATTATATGTCGGGCAGAAAAAAGTGTGCTTTTCCATGGATGTGAAGGTGTTTCATCTATTTTCAGCAGGGAAATATAGCTGTATCTATTTGCAGAACTACATAAATATAAATTACACAGAGATCATATTGGAAAAATATAGTAGGACTAAAAGGAAGTTGAAGTTCACAGACGAGATAAAGTCAAAGGATGATCTTCTGAAACACAAAAAACACTAACCAAAAGCTGGAAGGAACTTTAAGAAGTTCCTGGTCCTTTCCCCTTCCTTGTAACAGGCCCAGATATACCTACATCACTCCTGACATGAAGCTCCAAAGACACAGCAGCAGATGCAGAGGTACCCCAGGCTGTTGGGCAATGTTAGCTGAGACCTACGTCAGCAGAGGTCAAAGAGAAAGAAGGGGGCATCTGCAATCCCTTCATGTGGTGAGTGTAATCAGAGGCTCAGCATACAGATGTTTCAAAAGCTGTGCTGTGGAGGCCAGCACCCCTGCCGTGTAGCACCAGTGCAGATGACGGCAGAGTTTGATACATGTGGGAGGGCTCTCCACATGCAACGCATTGACTGCAGGCCATGTAGAGATGCAGCGCATATGCAAATGCCACTGGGATAATGGTGCGTGGTTGTGGTTTACTGAGCATATCTCCAAGGCAAAAGGTTATGGCTTCACGTCTGTGTGTGGCTGAGGGTCTTCCCCAACCCAAGGAAATGTCCTCCACGCTACTTCTGGCTTGGGAAGTGTGCCAGTCCCAAACCTGGGGACTGGACTGGCAGGAGAAAGTCACGTCTCTGCACTTCCCTCTTGGGGAGTCTGGACCCACCCTGCTGTCTGGTGCGGGCAGGAGGAGGAGGTGTGGGCAAAGCGGAGGATTTCCAAAGGCCGGGTGGGAGGCTGCAGTGCGCGTGCTCAGGCAACGGCACACGATGTTAAAGGACAAAGATAGACAACAGTAGGCTGAATGCCAAGGACTCCAGGGCCTGTTATTAGCGGAGAACATGTGCATGGAGAATTATTTTACATCGTGTACCAAATGTGGGCAAGTTCAGGCTTAGCAAATATTCTGGCAGGAACGAATTCTTCAGGAAAATGCCTTCTAGAGACATTATTTTGCTTCCAGCTTCCTCAAAGTTCATTCCTAGGCAAGACGGCCAAAGCAATTCTATTTAATGCCGGGGTCACCACAGGACAAAAGAAGGAAAGTCTTTTGGAAGTAATTAGATTTCAACTATTTAGGGCTCTGTAGATAGTAAACAGTGCTTTTAATTGCTCCCATTGTTAGGAACAAGCTGCGGGTGTAATTTACCCTGAGAAAGCCATAGTGCCTAAAAGAGAGTGAGCTGAATTAAGGCTGCAGCTGAAATTTCAAGTGGTTATCAAGTCTCAAGTTTTGTAATGTGAGCCTGGTCGCAGGCACACCACCTTGCATGCTTATCAGGTCTCACTCTCCTTCCTTGCTCCTCTTCACTTCCCTGCCCCATCCCCTCTTCACAGCTTTTGCTGGACTGTTTGGAGAGCCAGTGCAACCTAGGAAGGTGGAAAGAATTATCCACATTTCTGCATGATTTGTTTCTGCTGTTTTGGTGAGTTGTGTTAGCTCATGGAGGCGCCTAAAAAGCTCCAGAGCCTGCACAAGGCAGCGCGTGGCTTAGATTGAGCGATAAGGAGGAAGGGAGATGGGAATGCAGCTCCCTCTTTTCTGGCAGAGGTGAGCTGATGCAACCACGTTCTTGGCCTGGCAGAGGCGCTTGGTTTGGTTTTCTTTTGTTTGCTGAAGAGGGTATTCCCAGATCTTCTCATCAGAGGGCAAGTGCAGAACAGTTTGAGGCTATTAAGACTCCAAGAGCAACGAAGCACTTGAACAAATGAATCCCTGAATAAAAGTTCCTCAAAATTTGTTTCCAGGCCAGTCATTGCGAAGCAGTTTGAAGCTCTGGAATGAGCCCAGTTTCTTGGCTTCTGTCCAGCTCCCTATCTCTGCCAGACGCTGGAAAGTACAGAGATATCTCCTGTCTGGGCTGACAAGAAGGAAACAGAACTAAGTGTCATCTGCATATTAATGATATGGCCACCGAACCATCTTCGGAAGAAGTCAAAGATAAACTTGAACCTTTGGGATCTGACATCTGGGAGCGATCCAAAACCAGGAGCAGTCACACAGACTATCTCTGGAATTTTGCCAAAGAAAACAACAGGACCATATTAAAGCCTTTCCCCCCATTCTTTTAGGTCCTGAAAACTTGATGGTATCAGTATATGATTAAGAGTATCAGTGGCTTCTTGCTCACTTTGAGCTGTTTTATCTCAGGATGATTTTTACATGGGCGTATGGGTGTCAGCACTGTGCCGTATCATCTTACTCAACACTGAACAAATGGATTTGATCTTCATTTTATATTCCTCTCATCACACGACTAAGAAAATATTTTTCCAGACAACTTCAGGGTCAAGTTCAGGAATAATCCTCAGTATCTCTGTTAGTGCTGCAAGCGAATGACTAAACCACTGGCCAGGCCCGGACTGGCATAATCCTGAGAAATTAATTGAACAGGGTGTGGAAAACTACTGGATGTGAAACCACGACAACATGAGAAATTTCCAGATGTCACTGATAATAATGTAAGAAGCAGACAGAAGTTACAGCTAGCACTATGAGGGAAGGCTGGATCCCATGGGTGGTTAAGGGGGAAGTGACCAAAGTTCAAAGGTGACTGGAGGAAATTATTTGGAACCTTTCAGGGTTTACAGTCTTGCAAGGACATCAGCACCTAGGTGACTGCATCAGCAGTACCACACAAGGCCAAGAGTGACTAGGTAACAGAACTACAAAATCCGTAGCAAACCTGTGAAGGTAATTAGGGACAGCTTGTTTGAGAAGAGACTTGGTCAAAGGAAGCAAAGTGGTGAAAAAGAGGATCAAGATACAGTAAAAGAAATAACAAGGTGTGGAAATTATGTCTTTCGGGGGGTACCTGCTGAGCAGCTCTGTGTCTGATAACCACAGCCTAAACCAGGACAATAAACCAAACCTTTTAGAGTTTATTTGTATAGGATTCATTTCACCCAACTTGAAAAATAAAATGCTTAGGTGTTTAGCATGACCTGGTCACCGCAACACGCACAATGGAAATAGATTCCTCCAGCAGGTAACTCATCCTGTCCTAAAATGTAGGACTTAGGCTTGCCTGAAAACAAATGTCTAGTGCCACCTGAGATGGCCTAGGGCATCTGAACAGGGACCACCCACAGGAGAGGCAGCAGACTCTCCAACAGATGGAGAAGTACTTGGCACTTGGTGAGGCCGCACCTCAAATACTGTGTTCAGTTTTGGGCCCCTCACTACAAGAAGGATGTCGAGGTGCTGGAGCGTGTCCAAAGAAGGGCAACGAAGCTGGTGAAGGGTCTGGAGAACAAGTCTTATGAGGAGCGGCTGAGGGAACTGGGGTTGTTTAGCCTGGAGAAAAGGAGGCTCAGGGGAGACCTTATCGCGCTCTACAACTACCTGAAAGGAGGTTGTAGTGAGGTGGGGGTCGGTCTCTTCTCCCAAGTAACTAGCGATGGGACGAGAGGAAATGGCCTCAAGTTGCGCCAGGGGAGGTTTAGATTGGACATGAGGAAAAATGTCTTTACTGAAAGAGTGGTTAAACATTGGAAGAGGCTGCCCAGGGAAGTGGTTGAGTCCCCATCCCTGGAAGTATTTAAAAGACGTGTAGATGTGGCGCTTAGGGACGTGGTTTAGTGGGCATGGTGGTGTAGGGTTGACGGTTGGACTCGATGACCTTAGAGGTCTTTTCCAACCGTAATGATTCTATGATTCTAAGTATGGCACTGTATGCCTATGTTCAAGCAACTGAACCACACTCCTACATGGCTAAATGGGCTAGCTGGGTTCTCTCATTTGTACCAGATGCAAACCACTCCATTTTGGTTGCTTCTATAAATGAAGTGTCTGGACAGACCAGCCGAGTCAGGCAGTGTCACCTGGCTAGACTCAAAACTCACAACTATGATAGAACTTCTGTTATATCTCATTGCTGGAGCTAAAAAGTATGCTAATAATAAGTGAGGTAATATAATAATGAATGTGATTATATAACCTAGGTGCCTTCAATTGGACGAGATAGGACCCAGGAGGCCCCCCTCTACCCTAATATTTCTTTCTGATGTCATTTTATGTTCTGCTAGCAGTACTTACCTTTTGAATCTTTACCTGACATTGATTAACTGAAAAAAATGTAGTTTGCTCAGGCTATCATTACATTAAATGGGAAAAATGTCATCAATATTAACTCATTTGAGCTAGTAATTGTGACAATATTATTCATCATAAGATGTTTTGTTCCCCTACAGGTCACTGTGGAGTGCCAGAGCCATTCTGTATCCAACTGTAACTACTGGATACTACTAGAAAATAATGACTTGTTAAGAGAAACCCTGTCAAATGTGTAAAAGAGACAGGAATCTTAATTGCGTTGCATTTGCAGGTAAAACTAATTAATGTACAAACTAAATGCCGCTATAAGCACACACAGTTCTAGCTAACACTAGCAGTTCTCAGAAAACCATGCATGATTTGGTTTTGAAATACTTAAGTTTTTGAACTGACCTGTTGTTCCCATATAGTTATTTTATTCTGTTAAAGGAATTTACCTTCTCTACCAAAGCAAATTCTGAACCTGAACTCTTCATATAACACACACTGTTGTGTGCTGCTGTGTTAGGCAGCACTGTGGGGACCCCAACCACAAGAATATTCACAACAGTAACATTAGCATGATGTTTAAACTGCAGGTTGCACAGTACAATGTGCAATTGCAAATACAGTGGAGTATTAATATGTAAATTAGGATGCCATATCCTGCCTTTCGTTTCAGTGTAAAATTATGGGCTTCAAAAATGGAGTCAGTGAAATGACCATGGCAGGGTATGGCCCTCAAATAATCTGAATTAATGAATGGGTTAATTGCTTCATGCTGGGTCTGGTCCTGTAAGGGGGGAGGGGGGGATGAGAGCCTCTAAAAGCTTGAAATTTAAGATGACTATTTGTGCCTGACTTCAATGCAATCTTTTATTTAGTGTACCTCTGCCATCACAGAATTCAGTCTGGGATTTGGTAGATAGTCTGTGGTTTAAGTTAGAACAACTTTTGAAAATAAACAAATCAATGAGACTAAGCATTGATTTCCCCTAGAATGCCACACAATCTGACCTTTTCAAAATCTGCATGTGGGTTACTCTGGCAGTAAAAACAACCATGACTAAGAAGCACGTTATGCATTTCCCACATACTGTTTTACATATTATACAAAAAATACTATTATTAAAATGGCAAAGATAACAGGTAAGAGGGAACACTGATTTTCAGTAACTTTGTGCACTTAAGCACATTAAAAATTTAAATGTATTCATGTCACACACTGGGGAAAGCAGAAGAGATACAGAAATATACAATATAGTTTTCAGGTTTTTGATTATAATCTGTTGTTTTTCCTGCTGATGTCAAGAAAAGATTCCTGTTTTCTCAGTTGCACTACTTATCTGACCTATGAGTCATACATTTTCACTTCATAGTGTACAAAATATTTTAAGCACCACTTTATACAATGATTACTTCTTAGCAGGGTTTTTCCTTAAAAAATGGCAGTCAGCAGGTAGTGGAGAAGCAAATTCTAAAATAAAGATCTTGTTCCTGCTGCCAGAGCTGCTCAGGGAGAAGGATCTGGATCTGACATGAGCCTCAGTCAGAGTTGAGGTCCGAGTTTGCTGGGACTTTCCCGTTCCTCATGCATATGTATCTCCTCATTATTGCCTGCTGGCAGGTGGGTACAATCCTCTGCTTAGTCCAAACTCTCTGTCTATGTAGTGCTAAGTCAAACACGGCTTTGCAGAGAGGTAGAGGGTGTTTCCTGGAGAATCAAGCGGCTGAAAATGCACATTCCCAGACTCACGCACTGCCACATCCCACCTACATGAACTCAGGAGGGTCTCTCACAGGACCACGTCCCTGCCGCCACCCCCAAGGGGGCAATGATGTTTGCAGACTGCTGGAGCCAGGGTACCCATCAGCGAGGACATGAGCATCCCAAGCCAGATGCTTCACAACTGTGTCAATATGGGCAGGTCAGAAAGCTTTAAGCCAAATCTGGACCTCAGCTTTTGAAGAAAAGTGAAACTCCTCCTTGCATGGGCCAAATTCTACTCTCAGTTACAGATAGATAAACCACAAAATAAATTGCAGTGGTGTGACTGAGGGCAAAAGCTTCTCTCATGGCTTTAGCCCACATGAATTTTACGTGTTTGGATTACAGGATAAAATCATGTATTTTATCAGAGATCTGTGTTGATGCTCTAAAGCAACAAGTTTCAGGAAAAATATTTCCGTGTATTTGTAAATGCACAAGTAAGAGCTACTAGGTCTGGCTATTCCAGGCTCCCAATTTTGTGCACTGATAACACAGAAATATAGTCTCTAGGGAAGACATGTAACAAATTGTTAACCCTTAGGTGAACAAATTTCAAATACACAAACTAGTCCTACTAATAGGATATGACCTTGACCTTTGTTCAAAATGTAAACAAAACTTATTAAAAATATTTTTCAAGGATTCAAAGCATTTTGGAAAAGGCTTTTGCACATCTATGTCCATCTATGCACGCTCTGAGCCTGCGGATACTACTGAGTCCAGATGAAGTCTTGTCAGCAGAAGGTCTGAGGTGGGAAAGCTTCATTTCTGCATCCCTCTGATGAGGAAAGGTGGCAGAGGCTGGTTCAGGTCTCGTGCTTATTCCAGGAAAACTAATGAGTGCTCTAGGTTATGTCAGCATTAATGATCTCACAGGCATCATTTCACCACCCAGACACTGTCAGAGCTCATGGTGTTTGTTCTATGGCATCAGAAGGAAAAGAAAAGCAGTTTTATACTGCCTGGCAATAGCTCTGCCATAGGCTTTGTTGGGGCAGATTTCCTAAGCTGCCTAAGTAACTCCCACACCGTGCAGGAGTCTAGCTCACCATAGGGCATTTTTAAGTAAAAATCCCTACACATTATGCCATAAAAAAATAAAATCAAAATTTCAGACCTAGTTTTTCATTGTTCATTTAAAGCCTAGTTTATTTAAACATGTAAGCATTCATATAATCCTCCTTCTTTCAGAAAAGCAGTCAGGCATGTACTTAGATCCCACAGATTTCAACAAGGTAAAAACAAGTGATTTGATAGTTAAGCATCAGCTCAACTAAATCAGGGCTTTTACACCTGTAAAAATAATTGAAGAACACTGCTGAACCAGAATGGTAATATTTACTCTTGTTTTTTGTGCTCAAGGTACAGGGGAAGGAGAAACAACATCATTCTAAGGGGCTGATGATACTCTTCCCTTCACCGCAAAGCTGATGTAAGAATTTTTTCCCTTTTTCTTTCCTGACACTTGTTCCTTTTCCTGCACTGCAGCTTACAGCCCTCTGATTTGGATCAAAGCAGCTCTTTGTGGGACCATATTACAAACTGTATTACTGAAAGGATCTGGGTTAAAAAATAAAATGCTTTCTACTCTTGAAGGTTCGGTGATCTGGTTCACAGCAGAAACACATAAACACCTATTCTGCAGGATGCAGTGAAATGAACTGTGGATGTGCAAATGAATAGCTGGAGGAGGGAGCTTCTCAGACTGGTTTTCTGCCAGTGAAAACAATTCACTGAACAGCACACTAAGTTAAAACCTACAGTAGGTGAAATTCAAAGCATTCTAGCATACTGGTTAAACAGTGCCTATTATTTTTCTGTACTTACTGTGCCCCACCAGAGAGCATCTGCATATGTGGAGAATTGGTTATTTGCATCTTTTTCCACCAGATAAACCAGGAAAGATGAAAAGATGAGTACTAAAAATCCTATGTACCAGGCTGTGATTAATTCCTAGGTAAAAGAAATCAGAGATCAATATTCATTTGAAAGATTGAACAGAATGGCATTTCAAGGAAGACATAATGAAAAGATCTACATACTTTTTTGGCATTTGAGCAGTTAAAAGTCAAATGCTTCCCTATGGATGCAAATTTTCTCTAAAACTGGACCGAATCTACTCCTATGGTTTGGTGCTCCAGCAACTTCACCAATATATATTGAATTACAACAGCATATCAAGGACGACATTTTCAACATATTCTAAAAACTGTTAGTGTTTAACATGGCCTAATGTATCTGCACTAATGCCCATTACAGTTGATGTCACTTCAGAAAATTTTAGGTATTCTGCTCAAAACTGATAAATATTTGTTGCCTTGGCCTCTTGTTGAATCACATCAAGTGAAGATATCGACCAGACAAAATTAGCATTTAGGATTACGTACCTTGCTATGTGCATAAACTACTGAACCTAATAATTTCCAAGTGCCTCCTCTTCGGTCCATGCGCACCATACGAAGGATCTGTAGGAAACGAAGACTTCTCAGTGCTGATGTTGCAAAAATGTTACCCTGAGTTTTTGCAGAAACAACTGCTATTGAAGCGATGAGAACAATGATGTCTGAAAGAAATATATTACAGAAAACATTAATGTCCAAGTACCAATAAATAACACATACATGTACATGAGCTGAATGAGGGGACAAAAGAGGGACCCCTCCTGCAGTGGGTGGGAATCCGAAGCACTGAGATTCCTGTTTGAGGTAGGGATGTGAGGTCAGGGCTGGTGTCAAAAACTGCCTCGGAAGCCTCCAGGGTGAAAACTGAGGGTAGTAATTTTGAAAACATATGGATAAGAGGAGCAATGTTGAAGGAACAACATGTAGGAGCTTTGAAGCCCGATGTAGCAAACTGTACAAATCAGTAGATGGACTAGAACTTTTTCCCTTTATATCTTTTCCCATAGCAACTTTCCTATGAAAAGGCAAAAAAGAAAAAAAAAGGGTAAGAAAAAAATAGAGCAGCCCCAGTGGTGAGAGCCCAGTGGAACCAAACTTACAAGCACACATACTAATTTCCTATGAGTACAAACACTGTGTGGTTGAAGCATGTAGTTTCTGGACACAACTCCCTTGATGTACCATGCAGTGCTGGGTACTCAGAAGCATTCTTTTAGCTGGCAGCCTGGAAAGTTTGTTGAAGCCCAGCAAGTGTTAGGATTTATTTCTTCCGGTCACAGATTCAAGAGTGAGTTTGTTCTGCATGAACTAATCAGCCAGCTGCCCTTTGAGCCAGAACAGCATTTAAAGGGAGATGAGGAGGAGAGGCACAGTGATGGCACACGGACACTGTGAGAAGGCAGAATGTTCTTTTATGATGATTGGGGCAGGCTCACAGGTGTGCAGGGATTGGAAAGGGACAGAACAAGCACTGTGTTACTTCATCCTCTCATCATTAATTTCCTGACCTTCTGTTAAAAGCTTCAAGGGCCTTTGTAAGAAACACCTGGTTTAAAACTTAGGATTTTGTGGTGTTTGTATGTTTATATGCAAGGATAATCCAAACCCATGTTTGCCAGTGAAGAACTTCCTGAAAGCAAGTTCTTGTTGACATGAGTTTTGCTTCTTTTGTCTTGGGTACAAACACTCATCTTGTCCCGAGCATAGTTTCTACAAGTCACGAATGACCCAGTAAGTGAAAAGGCCCCCCACAGGCGGGTGGCAAGGGAGACTGGCTGTACCTAGAAGCAGGAGACTCTTTCCTTAGCCTGCTGTCGTGGTTTAACCTCAGTCGGCAACTGAGCACCACACAGCCACTCGCTCACTCCC